AGAGAGAGAGAGAGAGAGAGAGAGAGAGAGAGAGAGAGACGTGTTGGTTATCCGCTAGTTCGAGCACAGAGGGGACAGTGTGAGAGACAGATACAGGAGATCTGGCGCTCGTTTTCGCGAACATAACGCCGCCGCGTTAAGCGCCCGCGTGAGAGATCGGAGGGCAAGCGGCGCGGAATTTCCATGAGCCCTCCGCTTCGAGGGTTCGGGGACGCCTCTAAGGGTGAAACACTCGACACGCTGATGGAGAAGTAATGGGCTGGAGATTAGGACGCGGCCCGTCGAAATTGCTAATATCGATTATGCCAAACCTCAAGTGCGCCGGCCGGGTTCATATGTTCGTTACGCTCAGGTTAATCTCGAGGGAATTAGAGTGGCAAATGGGCCGTAATGGCCCGACATATCTCAAACGGGCACACCACTTGTTCACAGACAATGCTTTCTACACGCTATTCGTCTTGCGCGTGTCAAATAATCAGTAACAGACTGCCTTGACGCGAAACGCAATAAAAATTGATTGGTTTCTCGCGAAGTATACTGAAAGCGCAATCGATCGTTCACTTTAGCGACTTCAGTGAAGGTCTCAATCAAATTTATAATAGAATCTTTCTCGCGTTTCATACATCACACGCATCAAAGGAGGATGCCTAAAATATATGCGAACTCTTCTCCGTGAACAGCAATTAAACCTATACCAAATTATAGTTTTCTATCTTTAATTTTGTCAATGAGCACTTTCCTATGTCTAGCGGCTGAGAGGAGATGGTTAAAGTGGTCAAAGTTTCAATACGTTTACCTTTATATCTTCCCAATGCCTTTATCAATGTTTATCAAACTTTGAATGATTAGTAAAAATAATGATGCTCATTAGTAAAGGAGCAATCATTATGCAAAGTCCTGCGTCAGAAGCTCTGGGTCGGTTGAACACTTGACTCAATAGGAGTCACCGCTACCAAAGCGAGTATACTAGTCAGTGAGGAAAATGGCAGTAGTACTATAAATTGGAACAGAAGCAATGACATTACTTGCTATCCTTACATGATAACCATGAACAACAACGGATTTGTTAGTCTGGCTGAGATTTTCGGCAAATGTCATACCGTCATTTTCAGCTAATTTCTTCCGTATTCTTCGTATTTAATTATTTTTGTACACGTTTATTTAGAGAGGTGGGCTTCTCTTCCATGTACTCTAGTATGTATATTTTCAGGAACACGAATATTATGGATATTAGCGTATAAAAGAACAGTTTTTCATTTTTCGATTAGGATACCCTGGTGAAAATGATGTCTAATAACACTTTACCTAAACTAATTTTTTTTTGTACAAAAAGAGTTTCAGAATTCTTCAGAACAAAAGAGAGAAAGTGTTATTAGATATTTGATACTTTTTCTCATTTTTTCTTATTCTTTCATTTCCGCCAAGATAATGTCTTAAAATCATTGGATGTGAGTTGTATAAATCTTTTATGGCATATATTGTACCTTATATACGATCGAAAATGCTTTTTATTTTTGCAAAATATAAATATTTGTATAGTATTGTATTTTGAAGTTCTCTCTATCTCGCCTTAGGCACTTCGTATAGAGATGAGACCAGGAGCAAATTTGATATATTCGAGAAGTACTATCTTTTGGTATAGATTTCATTCCCAAAAAAAAAGATTGGTTAATTTACGGACAGCCAATTACATTTCAAATGAAAAAACTAGAATATTTGATTATAACTTAAAAACTAGAATGTTTGGTTACAACTAATTTTAGTTGATTAAACAACTAAGATCAGTTGTCATAATCAAACATTTTGGCTGCTTCAGCTGAAATGCGGTTAACTGTTCGTGAATCAACTAATCTTTTTTCTTCGTGTTTGTGTCCACCCCTGGGCATCCTCCTTTAGACGTATCTCAATAATGGCTAAGCGGATTCCTCCTCCACTGCACGTGATAAAATATGTGACAAGTGCAAGATGGAATTTCTTTCTCTCTCTCTCTTCTTTTTTTTTCTTATTTATTTTTCACTCCGCTTTCTCTCTCTCCCTCTCTCTCCCCTCCCTCCCTCAGTAATACATTCATGTTCGCTGCACGCTGTCGGTCGACGAGATGATGGATGTATCGTCGCATTAGCTATACGGGCGTCGCGCGAGCACGTATGTGTGAGATGGGAAATATACATAAAGAGCTGACGCGCAGAAGGCGGTTGACGAAAGAGAAAAGAGAGTCGAGCGCAAAGAGAGACTGCACAGAACGGGCCGAGCGGGTGTTTGAATAAACCGGGACACCCTGTCGCGTTTGGTCGAGCTTACGTATTATTTTGCCCTATTATTCCCGCGCCGTGTGCAAAAAAGACACTGACACTTGGCGCTCGATCGTTTGACGCGCGAAAGAATTCGCCCGCGATATTTCACGTTAACAATTCCGCGAAGGCGAAGGCCTTGCTTTTTCTCGCGGAAAAGATCTCCGTTTCTTCTGCTCTCTCAATCATAGATTTTGCCGGGTTTCGCGATATCGCCACGGGCAACCCTTTTTCCGCGGATTAAGCAGAAAAAGCTCAACTGAAAAGGGACACGCCGATATATACTATATTTCAGCGCGTGTTGCTCATGATTGTAACGTGGATTATTATGTTGCAGCTCGTAGAGCTCTTTGTTCGTCGACTCACTTATCCAGACAATTCGTTTCCCGACGTCTTTTCGATGACGATGAATCCAATGTTATATTAATCCTTTCGCACTCGTCGTTGCCCTGAGATAACACGCACTTCGAATCTATCCAGACGCCAA